ACCGTTGGGAATTGTCAATACAGTAAATATCGTAACCTTTCTAATCGAGGTTTTGGTTTTTAATTCATATGAAAACGGCTTCTTTGCCTATTAAAAATGAAAATATTAATGCAGTGCTTGGAAAACTTCTTCAAGTATGAAATAAGTCAGATAAATACCTCGAACGTCGGCAATAAGCCTATAAAGCCCTCGGGGCCTACGGCCCCTCGTGCTTTATATGGCTTATTGCCTCCGTTCTCGGTATTTATCTCTTACTTATTTCATAATGTCGGTCATGTGCGCTGGTGCTACGCTGATAATATTCATGGTGTCCAGTATTGAGAGGTACCTGGCCATAGGACACACTCAGTTCTACCTGGAAAACGTCACAACCAAGAAAATCATTCTCACTACGGCCTTAGYGTGTTTGATCGGTTTATACCAGCGACCTTGTCAGCAAGAATACTTTTGACTACAACCGATTTAAGAAAGTACCAATCGCAGTGGCTGTCGGTCTGAATGTTCTCATCATTTTATTTTGCTCAATAAAAGTACAAGTCACCGCCTACCGTCAAAGAAGAGCCATCAACGCACAAGCAGCGACAGTACAGCTACAACAAGAAGAACAAGAAGAGCAGGAAAGGCGACTTAAGGAATACAAGCGAGCATTTACCATGGGTTTACTGGTAATTGCATCGATTCTTCTCTACTGCCCATACATCATCAATGCCATCCTACTAGCCAACAATGGTGTAGACAGGTCCAGCCTTATCTTGAATTCCTATTGTTCACTATAACTTTAATGAAAATCTTTCTAGGCTGAATTTTAATGTCGATATTTTTTTATTAATTCGTATTCATAACTTCCATCATTTTTGTGGTTACTCTCAAAGACGGGTAACCACTATGTTATCGTGTTGTAAGTCCGTCCGTAACACTATCATGTGCAATTGGAGAATCCAAAGACAACCCAAACTGCACCCCCTGTATTTGAGCAATCGCTAACTGAAGTCTCCCCGCCTCTAAATTCACCATCTGTGCCCTAATATCCCTCTCACAGTTATAAGCGCTACACAGACACAACACACCAAATATCAATTGCTATGAAAAACCAGAGAGGGGGTTAGAAAGGAAAATTTTCGTTGTTCCTAATCTCTCGACACCAGTTCTTCAAGAAGACCAAGACTACAGGTTTAGGCTTAATTTAATGAAATTGTAGCAGTAATACTATGGTCTAAAACTGCGCATGTTTTTCATGTAAATGTTTTTTTAAAAAAGCACTCGACATTATTATCATTAGAATTATTCTCTTATGATTGGATTCAAAGTGTTTGAGTCACGTGACACTAAGCTTGTCATCTGATGTAACACTGCTAGTGTATTTGCATCGTTCAATAAACGATTTTAAGTTATCCTATTGTTCATTATAACTTTAATTTAAAATTATTGCGAGTTTATTTTTTAATGTCGATATGATTTCATCGTGGAAAATGAGACTTCTGCATAGCGACTGAGTTGTCAGAGAGAACRGTGAATTTACGACCATCGATAGTTATTGCTATTTGTCTAGTTACGTAAGGTAACAATGCTATTGTGGACTAGGTTAACATTCCATTTGATAGGCGTGGCCAGCA